TTCTTTTTCTTCTTTTGATGCTGCCGCCTAATGACACAGGTGACGCCCCTATGGCCAGAATGGTTATGGGAGATACATACATACATGTACATACATAAAATGTACCCAATGCTGTAGACATACATTAGGCTATGACAGTAGCCAACATTCTGGTTGTATTTCGGACCCAGGTTATATAAACCTCGAATGAACAGAATAAACCGGGATTGCGGCCATGTAACCGAACGACTACACTTAAAAATCGTAAAACGGGATCACGTGTGATCCCGTACACCTCGCGCGCACTTGGACCTAGCATGGCATGTATGTCGAGACCATCGATCCTGGGTGGAGAATTAGCAATTCCACCCTCTCTTCAGAATTGAGGGGTGTTATGGAATTGGATTCCGTCAATTCTGACGACGGAATTTGGGTAATCGAACCGTGCATCCACCATAACTAATTCTAGAGTTAACCGAAATGTGTGTAATGAAATGCGCCCATAGTCTGCATGGCAGAAACCAAAAAAGAAAAAAGAAAAACGCCGACCGACTCTGGTACTGGATACCGATGAGTGAAGTGACCCAAAACAACGAATTAATTCTGGGTGGCCTTATTATAGTAATTATAGTTTCCATGGAGACATTGCTTTATTATCATATGCCGGGATACTGTAGAAATGAGTGTAGAATTGTAGTACTGAAGTACATGCTACATCTACTAGTATAATTATGTAAAATAAAGATTTATATTATCATTATGATTATTATTACGAACTTAGATCAAGCTGTACAGGAACGAGCAGAATTAAGAATGCACACACATATACAAGAAACACACACACACACACATATACAAGAAACACAGCATACATACAAACACACACACACATGCACGCGTGCACACACACGCATGTACACACACACACACACACACACACACACACACACACACATACACACGTACACACGTACACACGCACACACACACATACATGTACACAGGCACACACACGCACGCGCACACACGCATACAAACACACACCATTGGACCATTGGACCATTGGACGCCCATCGCCGGAGGCGATGATAGCGATGCTACAGCAGAAGCCATAGCAGCTTGTGCTGGGATTGCACCATTCAACAGCTTCCAAGGCTGAAGAATTGACCGCCACTATTCAGCCTGGTCTACACCACACAGCTATGAAGTGGCTTTTTCTGTCCAGTGAATCCCTTTTGGTCTTTTTCATTTTTTTCATTCTTTTTCACACACACACACACATCACACCACATACTCCGGCATGCACTGGCTGTTGGTAACCACCCAGGAGAATGAAAGAAAAGTCAGGAGGAGTCTGAGAAAGAGAAGACAGATGTGTGTGACCATAATCTTCGGGAATCGAACCCGCAACCTATCGATTGGGAATCGCTGCACATACCACTGCACCATATGGGACACACACACACACACACGCACACACACACACACACGCACACGTGCACACACACAGAGCGCCAAATGCGCACTCTGGGTAGGATTTAACCGAGCTCAACTGTGTACATGCATGCATGCACATGAACGCACGCACGTCCACATACGCACGCACTCACGCATACACACACACACACACACACACACACACACACACACACACACACACACACACACACACACACATGCACCTGCAGACACACGCCAGCTTCCCAGTTCTTATTTTGACTTTCAGATTTACCTACGTGAATTTCAACAGCGAATAAATAACAGCACAAGTTGGAATGTGGTGGGTGTCTTCTGCCTATACTTAATTATCTATTCAAGTGAAGCTGCAGGAAGCGGCCAAATATATCTCAGAACTACCATCACGCACATACGCACGCATGCACGCATGCATGTACGCATGCACGCACGTACCCATGCACGCACGCATTCACGCATGCACACACACATTAACTACAACACACAGCAACTTGCGGTACGGGGGAGTGCTGGCCAGCGGAGTGTGAGCCTTGTCGACTGCCAGAGCAGGATCTTGGCGGAGCCAAGAGAGTCTCGAAAGGTCTGAGGGACAACGACTGAGGGCCGTGACTAGCCGGAAATGAGCGTAGCCAACACCACTTTTCTTCACTTTATCAAAGTAAACGAGTGATGAGAAATGGGAGGTGGGAGGGTGAAACACGAGCAGACAAAAATAATCCACACACAGTATGGATCAAAATTTATAGCGACGCGAGCTCTAGCAAGTCACACCGAGCACAGGTCGAGCGAACGTCGCATGACGCCCATGTTGAGCGCAACATATAAATGCCATGGTGAATGCCACGGCGCACGTCGCCAACACATTGAACGTCACGTTCAATGACACGTAGAGTGTCACGTCACCTAGAGTACCACGCGTGCATGCACAATGTTGTTTGGCTGACATGGTCACTGTGATATGCAGTGCACGCGATCGTAGACAGTAGCACAGCATGAGTATACAGCAACAGCACTATCAAACATAGCAGCATAGTTTCAGCGGTAGCACGAAGCTGCGTGCATCCGTTAATCTGCATTATCACCATAATGCTACACACACACACACACACACACACACACACACACACACACACACACACACACACACACACACACACACACACACACACACACACATACACACACACACACACATCCGCGCGCGCCCACGCACCTGCAGACCCAAATTTGCATTGTGGCTTACCTCTGGTCTAGAAGGACTCTATCTGCGAGAGGAGATGTTCTCTGCGAAGGCCCTGATTGAAGTTTGTCAGCTAGACTATGAGATGAGCCAACCGTACACCAAGTCTAAAGAGCAGCAGCAGATGTATAATACAGAAACACACACACATACACACACATACACACACATACACATACATCCACACAAACCATTGACCATTTGACGCCCATCGCCGGAGGCGATAATAGCGATGGTACGGCAGAAGCCATAGCAACTTGGGCTGGGATTGCACCATTCAACAGCTTGCAAGCCTGAAGAATTGACCGCCACTATCCAGCCTGGTCTACACCACACAGCTATGAAGTGGCTTTTTCTGGCCAGTGAATCCCTACTATTTGGTATTTCATTTTTTTCCGCACACACACCACACAACATACTCCGGCATGCACTGGCTGTTGGTAACCACCCAGGAGAACGAAAAAAGTCAGGAGGAGTCTGAGAAAGAGAAGAAAGATGTCTGTGACCATAGTCGTCGGGAATCGAACCCGCAGCCTATCGATTGGAAATCCCTGCACATACCACTGCACCATATGACACACACACACAAACACACATACACACACGCACACACACACACACATAACACCCACGCTGAGTGCCACATATAAATGCCATGGTGAATGCCACGTCGCACGTCGCCAACACGTTGAATGTCACGTCACCTAGAGTACCACGCGTGCATGCACAATGTTGTTTGGCCGACATGGTCACTGTGACGTGCAGTGCACGCGACCGTAGTCAGTAGCAAAGCATGAGCATACAGCAACAGCACTATCAAACATAGCAGCATAGCTTGAGCGGTAGCACGAAGCTGCACGCCCCATTCATCTCCATTATCACCATAATGCTACACACAAACCATGTACACACCTTGAACCTTGAACGTGCCCATTGCCGATGGCAAGATAGCGAAGGGACTATCTGCTAGCTTTACAGTACGGAGCGTGGAGCTTGAGATCCCCGGGACGACGGCAGACCTTCCCACATGTGCAGCGGAAGCCAGAGTCAGGATCAGGGGGAGCACGGGCGGGAGGACGACGATGAGCAACCTGCCTCCAGGCAGAGCGGTCCTGGGCAGCATCAAACCAGCAGTCAGAAGGCACAGGAGGGCTCCTGGAGCGGAGATCATCCATGATGACGTCACACCACCGCTTGCGTGGACCATGGTGAGGGCGCGTTGCAGGGAGCTCCCCAAACAAAACTCGCTTCGGCATACGGTCGTCGTTCATCCGGCCAACATGGCCAAGCCAACGCAGTCGATATTCCCGGATGATGTCCGCGAAGTCACAGTCAATGCCGAGTGTTCTGGCCATGGTAATGGAGGTGACGCGGTTGTCCCACTGGTCCCGCCTGGGGATGCCAACGATGATATGAACACATTGGTGATGAAAGGCGTTGAGAGAGCGCAGGTCCGGTGCCTTCGGCATCCATTTCTCTGTTCCGTACAGGAGGGTCGTCAGCACAAGGGCGATGCACACGCGGCGCCGACAGCGGAGAGACAACGACCGATTCTCAAACGCCGGGACACGGTGACTGCCGAACACACGCGAAGCCTTGGCGAGACGGGACTGAACATCATGCAAAGACTACCCGTCCCGATGGATGACACTGCCAAGGTACGTAAAACTGTCAACAGCCTCGATTGTGCTCTCACCAAGAGACACCGGCTCATTCATGGGCGAGTTGACAGTACACACACACACACACACACACACACACACACACACACACACACCATTGGACCATTGGACGCCCATCGCCGGAGGCGATGATAGCGATGCTACAGCAGAAGCCATAGCAGCTTGTGCTGGGATTGCACCATTCAACAGCTTGCAAGGCTGAAGAATTGACCGCCACTATTCAGCCTGGTCTACACCACACAGCTATGAAGTGGCTTTTTCTGGCCAGTGAATCCCTACTTTTTGGTTTTTTATTTTATTTTTTCCCGCACACACATCACACCACATACTCCGGCATGCACTGGCTGTTGGTAACCACCCAGGAGAATGAAAGAAAAGTCAGGAAGAGTCTGAGAAAGAGAAGAAAGACGTGTGTGACCATAATCGTCGGGAATCGAACCCGCAACCTATAGATTGGAAATCGCTGCACATACCACTGCACCATATGGGACACACACACACACACACACACACACACACACACATACGCATACACATACACACAAATGCACACACATACACACACACACACATGCACACCAATCTTGACAACATTAGTACTCGTAGTAGGACTAACAGCAGCCATCATGAAGAAAGAAAAGTTGCCAGCACTACCAGTGGTGGCAGTAGCAACAGCAGCAGTGAGGGCAGCAGCAGCAGTGGAAGGTAGCAGCTGCAGTGCAAGCAGCAGCTGCAGTGGAAGGTAGCAGCTGCAGTGCAAGCAGCAGCTGCAGTGGGGGCATCACCAGTGACAGCAGCAACAGCTGCAGCAGTGGAAGCATCAGAGGAGACAGCAACAGCAGTAATGGAGACAGCAACAGCAGTAATGGAGGCAGCAGTGAAGGCAGCAGTGGAGGCAGCAGCAGCAGTGGCAATGGCAGCAGTGGAGGCAGCAGCAGTGGAGGCAGCAGCAGTGGAGACAGCAGCAACAGCAACAGCAGCAACAGCAGTAGTGGAGGCAGCAGTGAAGGCAGCAGTGGAGGCAGCAGCAGCAGTGGCAATAGCAGCAGTGGAGGCAGCAGTGGAGGCAGCAGCAGTGGAGGCAGCAGCAGTGGAGACAGCAGCAACAGCAACAGCAGCAACAGCAGTAGTGGAGGCAGCAGTGAAGGCAGCAGTGGAGGCAGCTGTGGAAGCAGCAGTGGAGGCAGCAGCAGCAGTGGTAATGGCAGCAGTGGAGGCAGCAGTGGAGGCAGCAGTGGAGGCAGCAGCAGTGGAGGCAGCAGCAGTGAAGGCAGCAGCAGTGGGGGCAGCAGCAGTGGAGACAGCAGCAACAGCAACAGCAGCAACAGCAGTAGTGGAGGCAGCAGTGAAGGCAGCAGTGGAGGCAGCAGTGAAGGCAGCAGTGGAGGCAGCAGCAGCAGTGGCAATGGCAGCAGTGGAGACAGCAGCAACAGCAACAGCAGCAACAGCAGTAGTGGAGGCAGCAGTGGAGGCAGCAGCAGCAGTGGCAATGGCAGCAGTGGAGGCAGCAGCAGCAGCAGTGGCAATGGCAGCAGTGGCAATGGCACCAACAGCAGTTGCAGCAGCTGGCAGTAAAATCCAACCCCTCACTTGAGAGTGAAGACCATTGAAACGAACCATTTGCTCAACAAAAGTGCAGGAGTTACATGGTGGGCACATGAAGTTAGCTGTGTTACACAGACAGGGAGCGGCAAGAGCCGATGGACTCAGCAAGATCTCGACAGTGCTTGGTTGTCACTTGCCGCCACTGTGCAAAGACACAGAATAGCAGTGCACTGCATTGTACAGCACATTGCTGTGCGGCGCGGTGCTGTGCTGTGCGGGGCGGTGCTGTGCGGTGTTAGGCTGCGCAATGCTAGCTACGCAGTGTTGTGCAGTGCACTGCAGTGAAGTACAGTGCTGCGTAGTGCTGCGCTGTGCAGTACAGCACTGCGCAGTGTTGTGCAGTGTTGTGCAGTGCAGCACTGCACAACACTGCCTCAGGCTACAGGAGGGCCGTCGCATGCTACAGGGGAACGGCCACAGGCTGCAGGAGTATCGGCTGAAGCCAAGCCAGCCCGGGCTCAAGCTCGGCAGACCCACCCACCAAGTCTGCAGGACCATTCTGAAGCCTCAACAAGTCCCAATCATGTGACCTCCCCCCCCCCCCCCCCGAGGCGCGTTACGCGGACACCACAAAGACCAACTTCAGTCGACTATGAGGACCAGCAAGATCGCCTTATCGCATCTTTTGGATATGTTGTTCAGGTACACACTCAACAGACTCATGCTATTACTTTTAGGTAAGAAACCGCTCTCGATGCTCTATTGTTATGTATTCTCTGGGTGTAGCAAAAGAAAGAGAGAAAAGGATACTGTTGGAAGAAGCCGTAAATCAAAGTTTTATCCTGAGGCGCTCATGCAGGTAAGGTCACACGTTTTTATTTCTATGTTTCCCGTCACCCGAAAATCTAAAACCATATGCGACAGAAAATCGACCAATACACCATGAAAAACTAGCATCCAAAGTTAGCAACTAGTAAACGTGGTAGGGGCTTCTGTCACAATCTGTGCAGGTGCCGCTAGATTGCGCAATAAAAACTGCCGACCTCGCATCATGTGTGTTGCAAACAACGTGCAGGCCAGGGTGCACATGTGCATGTGCTGGTCCCCACGGTGCAGCACAGTTTGTTTTTCTTTATTTCCAGACTCCTGAATCGTATGCGCGCGGGTGACGAGAAACATAGAAATATAAACGTGCGGCCAAACTGATGTTAAAAACCTGAGACCAATTATCATTATTGTTGCTGCTCATACGCAAGTCTTGACGCTGGAAAGCTGAGAGTGGAGATTTGAGCAGACACCACATTGCATAGACGTAAACACACTAAGGTTTTGTTGTCAACGATATCCTTTCACACTGCTGATTGGTGTGCGAGGGAATATGAAGTAAGTAAATGTACGTGGTGTATGTCTCAGCGGTAAGGTGTGTTTGCGTTGGGGGGGGGGGGAGGCTTCAATAGAATCTCATTGGACAGATGCGAATACAGAGTGAGACATTGTCAGTGGAAACACCATGGGGAGAACATTACGCACATCATCACCCACATCACACCGATGTCGCAGTACATGTCACCAACACTTCAATTCTCGCCACCCAGTCATCCCTTGTCAATCAACGTATCCGTGAAGCTATGTTCATTCGTGATAGGCAATCCGTCTGTGAACAGGGACTGTGGGTGGAGGTTGCGTTCTGTACAAGGTGTGAAAGGTGTGAAACTTGTATGCTTGGTCTGAGTGTAGGTGTTGTATTGTATTTTGCACTACAAGTGAAACTGCAAGTCTGTTTGTGTCAGTGATTAGTTTGCAGGCTGGATGTACTTGTAGGTGATGTATTGTATTTTGCACTACAAGTGAAACTGCAAGTCTGTTTGTGTCAGTGATTAGTTTGCAGGCTGGATGTACTTGTAGGTGATGTATTGTATTTTGCACTACAAGTGAAACTGCAAGTCTGTTTGTGTCAGTGATTAGTTTGCAGGCTGGATGTACTTGTAGGTGATGTATTGTATTTTGCACTACAAGTGAAACTGCAAGTCTGTTTGTGTCAGTGATTAGTTTCCAGGCTGGATGTACTTGTAGGTGATTTTCTACACATGTACTTCAAGTACATGTAATTCTGTTGCCGTGACAACATGTAACTGTGGCCAGACAATGCATCACTCTGTATTCACATCTGTCCAATGAGATTAAATTGAAGCCCCCCCCCCCCAACACAAACACACCTTACCGCTGAGACATACACCACCTACACTTACTTACTTCATATTCTTCACTTAACATATTCACACCAATATGTTAACTTTCTCAGTTTCTCAGTGTCATTAGTTGTTGTCTTCATACATGTAGTTCAATAAGTACCTATGCAATAAGTACCTATGTAATGGATATTTTGTCATTCATTACTCTGATGATGGGCCAGGTTAGATTTGAATTTGAATTTGAATCGCAGTGAAGAGATAGTTTCGGATTTTGGAGTTGAGAAGTGAAGTTTCCTAAATGTGTAAATGGCTGCGTTGGAGTTTGCGGACAATTAGAAAATATGCTTATTTACGAACTTTTACTGTAACGAAGCTTATCTTGTAACTGATGTGGTACTCACAAGGCTAGACCTGTATCTATGTATCTCTGTGCTGCGCTGATGAGTTCAAAAAGAACGAAACAGCATGCTGTCCGCAGATTGAGTATGTCATGTTGTATGTACATAACCGCATGTAGCCTCTAGCGACAAGTGCCCAGTCTCAGGCTACCGGATGACGGTCGCATGCTATAGGGGGATGGCCTTGGGCTTCAGGAGTATGGGCTGAAGCCAAGCCAGTCCGGGCTCAAGCTCAGTAGACCCACCCACCAAGTCTGCAGGACCATTCTGAAGTCTCGACGGGTCCCACTCACGTGAGCCCCCCCCCCCCCCCGAGACACTGGCGTTACGCGGACACCACGAATACCTACTTCAGTCGACTATGAGGGCCAGCAAGATCGCCTTATCGCATCTTTTGGATATGTTGTGCAAGTACACACTCAACAGACTCTTGCTATTACTTTTAGGTAAGCAACCGCTCTTGATGCTCTATTGTTATGTATTCTCTGGGTGTAGCAAAAGAAAGAGAGAAAGGGGTCCTGTTGGAAGAAGCCGTAACTCAAAGTTTTATCCTCAGGCGCTCATGCAGGTAACTGATAATAAACACCTGAGACCAGTTTCCATTATTGTTTCTGCTCGTACGCGAGCTGAAAAGTTGATGGTGAAGATTTGAGCAAACTTTGAGCAGAATTTGAGCAGAGCAGATTTGAGCATTGCTTGTAGATGCAAACATACTAAGGGTTTGTCAACCATTTCTTTTCACACTGCTGATTGCTGGAATGCTTTACCTGCTAGGCGGCCTGCTAGGCGGCCATGGAAGGGGGTCCGGGGGCCCTCTCGCCGAAAAAATTCAAAATTGAAGCCAATTGCAAGCATTTCCGGGCATTTGGTGCCATTTCAGTGTAACTACCATAAAAGACTTTTTGATTCTGCAACAAACCAAGAAGACGCTACGATTGGGGACAAGTATTCTTCATTACCCTCCCCCGGGAAAAAATTCAAAAATTGATGCCAATTGCAAGCATTACCAGGCATTTGGTGACTTTTTGATTCATTACCGATCGATATTGGTTCAGGTCATTCGATAGTCAAAAAGCGTAATCGTTTCACCCCTACTGTTTCTGATGATCGCTTACCGTGAAACTCGGAGTAAAAACACTTTTTCATCCTCTCATTATTGTTAGAGTGTAAACGTAGATAGAGATCATTCCCAGTGCTTAACGTGCTGGGATGGTACACTGAACCTAAAATCACAAACCTAAATCATGCACTTTGAAGTGGTGTGAGCCAGGAAAATTCATGCAGACATGTAGCAGTGGTGCTGATGGCGACAGCAGAGGCACTTTGATGTAAGGGTCACTGACCTTGGGCCGTCCTTGCTGCCTCGTCCGGAAATCCTTAGCCACCTGAGAACACACGAAAGAATGAAGAAGGCGGCGTATGGTGCCAGAGTCAACCAGGTGGAGAGAGCATCATTCACCCCACTGGTGTTTTCGACCTCGGGTGTGGCGGGCAAGGAAGCCACTATATTTCTGAAGTTGCTAGCTGCTTTGGTTGTAGACAGAAACAAAGACTTGGTATATTCTGCCGTGAAGGCCCGTGATGGGGGAGTTACGCACCCGGGTTTCGTTTTGCCTGCTGCGATGGGCAGTCACGTGCTTTAGGGGTGCAGGGCCTCTTACATTCGCCGCAAGTTCGGGAGCCCCATTGCAGCATACTGCCCCCGGCTGTGCTGACACGGGCAGAGGCATGCCTTCGCCTTTGCATGTCGGTAGGCAATCTTATTAGGTAACGATTTCTTGTGAAGCTTTTGTGTTCAATCTTACATTTCAAATGAGTGTTCCATTTATTTCCGAATTTGGGTTGTCTTTTTGCTTTGACTCTCAGGGATGAATTTACGGTCAGGTTTTTGCATAGCAGTTTTTGCTATGCGAAATCTCAATTGTGGCGTAAGCTACAAAAAGGCATGGATAGCCTGTATGTGTATGTATGGCAGTTTTCTGCGTGTCACTGTGATTTTGAGTAGCAGTAGATCGATTTGGCGTAGCAAACTGCGATGCGATACCGCATAAATTAATCCCTGACTTTTGCTTCATGGTTTCACGCGATTGGCCCAATTGGTGTTGTGAATAAACCCGTTCTCAAGCAACAGCTGTTGGTGGCTACAGCAGCAGCTGTCTTGGTGGCTACAGCAGCAGCAGAAGGCAGTGCTGGTTGGGACAGCGGCAGTAGCAGAGGTGCTGGTGGGGACAGTAGCAGAAGGGGAGGTGTGGGTGGCAAAAGCAGCAGCAGCAGCGGTAGTGCTGTAGGCGACAGCAGCAGCAGCAGCAGCGGTTCTGGTGGCTACAGCAGCAATAGCAGCGGCGGTGGTGACAACAGCAGTAATAGAGGCATTGCTGGTGGCGACAGCCGCTGCAGCCGTGATTTGGTGGTGACAGCAGCAGCAGCAGCAGCAGCGGTAGCGGCAGTGTGGGGCGACAGCAATAGCGGCAGCGGTGCTGGTGGTGACAACAGCAGCAGTAGAGGCGTTGCTGGTGGCGACAGCCACAGCAGCAGTGGTGACTTCGTGGTGACAGCAGCAGTAGCGGCGGTGCTGGTGGTGACAACAGCAGCAGTAGAGGCGTTGCTGGTGGCGACAGCCACAGCAGCAGCGGTAATTTGGTGGTGACAGCAGCAACAGTAGCGGCGGTGCTGGTACCAACAGCTAGCTTGACCTTGATATTTATTCAGTGATAAATTTAGCAGCATTCATGTCCAGGTAACCATGGTAACTAGTTGTGTATTTGTACAGCTATATTTCAACCTCACCTTTCTTCCAAGTCCATGTCTGAATAAATCCGTGAACGCGCTAGAAACCTATCCTCTTCCACAGATGTAGCATTTGAAGGTAGAAATAGCGACCTGCTGCATCTCTTCATAAGTACGTTACTTACGGACTAGGCACGACGCTTGCCAATAACCGGCCTGTTCTGACCACTATGTTCTAGTCACGTAGAGGCAAATACTAGTAGTAAGATTGTGCAAATAAATTCTAGCTTGCTTCGCCACAAATATATTCTAGCTTGGTCCGCCACAAATAAATTTTAGCTTGCTTCGCCACAACTAAATTCTAGCTTGCTTCGCCACAAATAAATTCTAGCTTGCTTCGCCACAAATAAATTCTAGCTTGCTTCGCCATAAATAAATTCTAGCTTGCTTCGCCGAGGAAACGCTTCAGTGTAGGTACTCAGGATGACATAGTCTGGTCGAAGGCAGGAAGCAGCAGCACGACGACAAGCCTCTGGCTCTACTCCTACCGCTATACTACTGCGATACTTGAGTCTTTACCTCTTTAGTTTTTACTTCTCAGCTTTTGCTGCTAGCTCGGCGTAGCTGTGCTCGCTGTGCAGGTCTGTGTGACTGTCCGCAGAGCTAGAGCTGTAGAGTGTAGTGTAGTAGACCCGGGTGCTCGAATGAGATACAGGGTACCAAAACAGAAACAGCCTGAAATTGTACCTAAACTTATTCCGATTTCGTTTAGTTTTCACAAATACCATCAACATACGGCCCGCTAACGGTATGCCAAATTTCAGCTCTGCCCGGTAAACGGTTTTTGAAATACTCGCGACCCACTTTTTGTTGGGTCCTTGATTCGAGGATGTGGGTCCACGGTACGGTGCTGCCAAAGACCTGCTGAATCTGCGGCTCCACTGACCATCTTGCTCTCAAAAAGGAAGTAGTAAGTTACTACTCCCTGCCCTCAACTGCCATACCAAGCGTAGACGATGGTAGACCCGTGTGCTTGAATCGGAGACGATCTGACGAGTTTGCTGTTTCTGATTCGAGCACCCAATTTTCAAGTAAAAAATCCGAAGGAAATACGACTATTTTTACTGCGTGCTGTAGATTGTGTTGTAGCGCACCCAGGTTCTGAATTCCTGCTAGGTGGGTCAAGCCAGACTCTCTTCCCTGTTCCATCGCCTCTCCAAAAGTATATTCTGACATTGTTGAGATTTACAGATGAGAAATTGCACACCTGTCAAATCGTTTCTGATTCGAGCACCCGGGTCTACTAGTTGTTGCTGGCAAAACAACTAATAGTAATACTTACTTTCAGGTCAGTATAACCATAGTAACCATGCAAGCGGAGCGCGCGAAGAGATCTGATCTGATCTGAGTGCGTCCAGGTCAAGTAAGGTCCGGACCCAGTGTAAGAGTTACACCCAGTTCCATCCGGTTTCAACCAGTTCCAACCACTTTCATCAGTTCCAACCGGTTTCATCCAGTTCCAACCACTTTCATCAGGTTCTAACCAGTTTCATCCAGTTCCAAGAACATAGGTAACCATGCAGCTACGACCGGTCCATGCATGTTTGCACTGGTTTCAACGGGTTTTCGCGCCGGAACGAAAATAATGGCACAACACCGACTCAGCACGCATGCGCCTCATAATCGATGAGAACTGCATCTCCGTCTGTGCAGCTGTCCTAGGCTAGCGCCTGCATTTGCATCAAACAAACTACCATTTTTTGTTTGTGGAAAAGGTAGAGCCTGCTTCCATGCGGCAGCTAGCTGCCGCTTGAATGGACCGTAGAATTTGATTAGTTTACCTATAACGACACAAGGACTGTCGAAAGAAATCGTTCACGGAAAAGGGACCCCACTAGTACTTGAACAAATTCGGAAGAGAAAGATGAAGTGAAGACATCAACCGATAGCGAAATGTCGAGCGCAAAAACGGTAAGTATGTTGCCTTTATTGGAAACCGTCGAAATCTGTGTTCCCGCATTGTAGATATCCTTTTCTTAGTGACTTGTAAACGGTAGGGCCAGCCTAGTAACTACAAACCCAGTGATTCGGTGTGTGAACTGCTCAGTGCTGAAGTGTGGCCGTCTGATATGCTTGATAATGTGGGGCAGCCAAATGATTCCAGGCCCGTTCATTTGCCAGAAACATGTGTTGCTTCGAAGTCAGTCGATGAGTCAGTCTTGCATTCAACCTCACTCCTTCAAGGGGAGTGTGACGCTCTGACATGTTTGATAATGTGGTGAAGCCTTGTCACCCCATACCTGGTGATTCGGGATGTGTGTTGCTTGGCAGTGAACGATGAGTCCTTCTTGCGTTCAACCTCACTCCTTCAAGGGAAGTGTGGGGCTCTGATATGCTTGATAATGCGGGGCAGCCAAGTGACTCCATGCCCGGTGATCCGGGATGTGAGTTGCTTGGCGGTGAACGAGTCGATGAGTCAGTCTTGCATTCAACCTCACTCCTTCAAGGGAAGTGTGGGGCTCTGATCTGCTTGACAATGTGGGGAAGCCTTGCCACTCCATACCTGGTGATTCGGGATGTGTGTTGCTTGGCAGTGAACGAGTCGATGAGTCAGTCTTGCATTCAACCTCACTCCTTCAAGGGAAGTGTGGGGCTCTGATATGCTTGACAATATGGGGAAGCCTTGTTACCCCATACCTGGTGATTCGGGATGTGTGTTGCTTGGCAGTGTACGATGACTCCTTCTTGCGTTCAACCCCACTCCTTCAAGGGAAGTGTGGGGCTCTGATATGCTTGATAATGCCGGGCAGCCGAGTGACTCCATGCCCGCTGATCCGGGTTGTGTGTTGCTCGGCAGTGAACGAGTCGATGAGTCAGTCTAGCATTCAACCTCACTCCTTCAAGGGAAGTGTAGGGCTCTGATATGCTTGATAATGTGGGGAAGCCTTGTCACTCCATACCTGGTGATTCGGGATGTGTGTTGCTTGGCAGTGTACGATGACTCCTTCTTGCGTTCAACCTCACTCCTTCAAGGGAAGTGTGGGGCTCTGATATGGTTGATAATGCGGGGCAGCCAAGTGACTCCATGCCCGGTAATTCGGTGCGTGCGTTGCTTGGCAGTGAACGAGTCGATGAGTCAGTCTTGCATTCAACCTCACTCCTTCAAGGGAAGTGTGGGGCTCTGATATGCTTGATGATGTGGGGAAGCCTTGTCACCCCATACCTGGTGATTCGGGATGTGTGTTGCTTGGCAGTGTACGACGAGTCCTTCTTGCGTTCAACCTCACTCCTTCAATGGAAGTGTGGGGCTCTGATATGCTTGATAATGCGGGGCAGCCAAGTGACTCCATGCCCGGTAATTCGGTGTGTGCGTTGCTTGGCAGTGAACGAGTCGATGAGTCGGTCTTGCATTCAACCTCACTCCTTCAAAGGAAGTGTGGGGCTCTGATATGCTTGATGATGTGGGAAAGCCTTGTCAACATATACCTGGTGAATCGGGATGTGTGTTGCTTGGCAGTGTACGATGACTCCTTCTTGCGTTCAACCCCACTCTTTCAAGGGAAGTGTGGGGCTCTGATATGCTTGATAATGCGAGACAGCTTTGTAACTCTATACCTAGTTATCCGGCTCGTGTATTGCTTGGCAGTGAACGATGAGTCCGTCTTGAGTTCCACCTCACTCCTCCAAGGGAAGTGTGGGGCTCTGATATGCTTGACAATGTGGGGAAGCCTTGTCACCCCATACCTGGTGATTCGGGATGTGTGTTGCTTGGCAGTGTACGATGACTCCTTCTTGCGTTAAACTCCACTCCTTCAAGGGAAGTGTGGGGCTCTGATATTCTTGATAATGCCGGGCAGCCGAGTGACTCCATGCCCGCTGATTCGGGTTGTGTCTTGCTTGGCAGTGAACGAGTCGATGAGTCAGTCTACCATTCAACCTCACTCCTTCAAGGGAAGTGTGGGGCTCTGATATGCTTGACAATGTGGGGAAGCCTTGTCACTCCATACCTGGTGACTCGGGATGTGTGTTGCTTGGCAGTGAACGAGTCGATGAGTCAGTCTTGCATTCAACCTCACTCCTTCAAGGGAAGTGTGGGGCTCTGATATGCTTGATGATGTGGGGAAGCCTTGTCACCCCATACCTGGTGATTCGGGATGTGTGTTGCTTGGCAGTGTACGATGACTCCTTCTTGCGTTCAACTCCACTCCTTCAAGGGAAGTGTGGAGCTCTGATATGCTTGATAATGCCGTGCAGCCGAGTGACTCCATGCCCGCTGATTCGGGTTGTGTGTTACTTGGCAGTGAACGAGTCGACGAGTCAGTCTAGCATTCAACCTCACTCCTTCAAGGGAAGTGTGGGGCTCTGATATGCTTGATAATGTGGGGAAGCCTTGTCACTCCATACCTGGTGATTCGGGATGTGTGTTGCTTGGCAGTGTACGATGAGTCCTTCTCGCGTTCAACCTCACTCCTTCAATGGAAGTGTGGGGCTCTGATATGCTTGATAATGCGGGGCAGCCAAGTGACTCCATGCCCGGTAATTTGGTGTGTGCGTTGCTTGGCAGTGAACGAGTCGATGAGTCAGTTTTGCATTCAACCTCACTCCTTCAAAGGAAGTGTGGGGCTCTGATATGCTTGATGATGTGGGGAAGCCTTGTCAACATATACCTGGTGAATCGGGATGTGTGTTGCTTGGCAGTGTACGATGACTCCTTCTTGCGTTCAACCCCACTGTTTCAAGGGAAGTGTGGGGCTCTGATATGCTTGATAATGCGAGACAGCTTTGTAACTCTATACCTAGTTATCCGGCTTGTGTATTGCTTGGCAGTGAACGATGAGTCCGTCTTGAGTTCAACCTCACTCCTTTAAGGGAAGTGTGGGGCTCTGATATGCTTGACAATGTGGGGAAGCCTTGTCACCCCATACCTGGTGATTCGGGATGTGTGTTGCTTGGCAGTGTACGGTGACTCCTTCTTGCGTTCAACTCCACCCCTTCAAGGGAAGTGTGGAGCTCTGATATGCTTGATAATGCCGAGCAGCCAAGTGACTCCATGCCCGGTAATTCGGTGCGTGCGTTGCTTGGCAGTGAACGAGTCGATGAGTCAGTCTTGCATTCAACCACACTCCTTCAAGGGAAGTGTGGGGCTCTGATATGCTTGATAATGTGGGGAAGCCTTGTCACTCCATACCTGGGGATTCGGGATGTGTGTTGCTTGGCAGTGTACGATGAGTCCTTTCTGCGTTCAACCTCACTCCTTCAAGGGAAGTGTGGCGCTTTGATATGCTTGACAATGCGGGGCAGCCAAGTGACTCCTTGCCCGGTAATTCGGTGTGTGCGTTTCTTGGCAGTGAACGAGTCGATGAGTCAGTCTTGCATTCAACCTCACTCCTTCAAGGGAAGTGTGGGGCTCTGATATGCTTGATGATGTGGGGAAGCCTTGTCAACCCATACCTGGTGATTCGGGATGTGTGTTGCTTGGCAGTGTATGATGACTCCTTCTTGCGTTAAACTCCACTCCTTCAAGGGAAGTGTGGGGCTCTGATATGCTTGATAATGCCGTGCAGCCGAGTGACTTCATGCCCGCTGATTCGGGTTGTATGTTGCTTGGCAGTGAACGAGTCGATGAGTCAGTCTAGCATTCAACCTCACTCCTTCAAAGGAAGTGTGGGGCTCTGATATGCTTGATAGTGCGGGGCAGCCAAGTGACTCCATGCCCGGTAATTCAGGATGTGTGTTGCTTGGCAGTGTACGATGACTCCTTCTTGCGTTCAACCCCACTCCTTCATGGGAAGTGTGGGGCTCTGATATGCTTGATAGTGCGAGACAGCCTTGTAACTCTATACCTGATTATCCGGGATGTGTGTTGCTTGGCGGTGAACGATGAGTCCTTCTTGAGTTCAACCTCACTCCTTCAAGGGAAGTGTGGGGCTCTGATATGCTTGACAATGTGGGGAAGCCTTGTCACCCCATACCTGGTGATTCGGGATGTGTGTTGCTTGGCAGTGTACGATGAGTCCTTCTTGCGTTAAACTCCACTCTTTCAAGGGAAGTGTGGGGCTCTGATATTCTTGCTTGGCAGTGTACGATGAGTCCTTTCTGCGTTCAACCTCACTCCTTCAAGGGAAGTGTGGCGCTCTGATATGCTTGATAATGCCGGGCAGCCGAGTGACTCCATGCCCGCTGATTCGGGTTGTGTGCTTCTTGGCAGTGAACGAGTCGATGAGTCAGTCTAGCATTCAACCTCATTCCTTCAAGGGAAGTGTGGGGCTCTGATATGCTTCATAACGCGAGACAGCCTTGTAACTCCATGCCCGGTGATTCGGGATGGGTATTGCTTGGCAGTGAACAATGAGTCAGTCTTGCATTCAACCTCACTCCTTCAAGGGAAGTGTGGGGCTCTGATATGCTTGATAATCTGGGGCAGCCAAATGGCTTCATGCTCAGTGACTCGGGATGTGTGTTTATAGGCAGTGAGCGAGTCTATGCGTCAGTAATGCATTCAACATTACTCCTTCAAGGGAAGTGTGAGGCCCTGATATGCTTGACAATGGGAGAAGCTTTGTAACTCCATACCTGGTGATTCGGGATGCGTGTTCCTTAGCAGTGAACGATGAGTCCTTCTTCCGTCCATCCTAACTCTTTCAAGGGAAGTGTGGGGCTCTGACTTGCTTGATAATGCGGGGCAGCCAAGTGACTTCATGCCCCATGGTTCGGGTTGTGTGTTGCTTGGCTGTGAATGAGTCTACGAGTCAGTCTAACATCAAATATCTGGCAACACTTTGTCTGAATAGGCAAACCACTTAGGGTCCAGCAATTCGATTGTGGAGTCTGATCCTCTGTGTGCCTGTCTCTCGCTCTCTCTCTCTCTCTCTGTCTCTGTCCCTGTCTCTCTCTCCCTGTCTCTCCCTTTCTGTCTCTCTTTGTCTGTCTGTCTCTCTCTGTCCCCCCCTCTCTCTCTCTTTCTCTCTCACTCTCTCTCACTGTCTCTCTCACTCTCTCTCTCTCTCTCTCTCTGACTCTCTTCTACGACGTCACCGAGGTCTGCTGCGGCGTCATCAAGGTCTCCTACAGCATCATCTTGATCTGCGGCAGCGTCATGGAGGTCGGCTACAGCATCATGGAGGTCGGCTAAAGCGTCATGGAGGCCTGCTACAGCGTCAAGGATGTCTGCTACAGCGTCATGGAGGTCTGCTACAGCGTCATCAAGGTCTGCTACAGCATCATCAAGGTCTGCTACAGCGTCATCGTGATCTGCTGCAGCGTCATGGAGGTCTGCTACAGCGTCATGGAGGTCTGCTACAGCGTCATGGAGGTCTGCTACAGCTTCATGGAGGTCTGCTACAGAGTCATGGAGGTCTGCTACAGAGTCATGGAGGTCTGCTACAGCGTCATCGAGGTCTGCTACAGCTTCATGTAGGTCTGCTACAGTGTCATCAAAATCTGCTGCAGAGTCATCAAAATCTGCTGCAGAGTCATCGAAGATACCATCCACACGTGATGCTGGCTTCCGTTGCTCATCGGACTGGTAAGTTAGCTCGCAATATGCTTGCTTTCAAAATGTTTGAAATGCTTACAGGGCACTGGTAGCCTGTCACAACCGTTTACGTACGTGTACATCAAATATCTGCAACACAATATGTCTTAATAAGCAAACCACTTAGGGCCCAGCAATCCTAGTTTGGAGTCTGATCCTCTGTCTGCCTGATTCTCTCTCTCTCTCTCTCTCTCTCTCTCTCTCTCTCTCTCTCTCTCTCTCTCTCTCTCTCTCTCTCTCTCTCTCTCTCTCTCTCTCTCTCTCTCTCTCTCTCTCTCTCTGTCTCTCTCTCTGTCTCTCGCTCTGTCTCGCTGTCTCTCTCTCTCTCCCTCTTTCTCTCTCGCTGTCTCTCTCTCTCTATCTCTGTCTCTCTCTCTCCCGCTCGCTCTGACTTTCGCTTTCTCTCTTCCTCTCTCTCTCCCTCTCTCTCTCTCTCTCTCTCTCTCTCTCTTACTCACTCTCTCTCTCTCTCTCTCTCTCTCACACACACACACGCACACACACTTCGGTGATGTGGCTGGACCTCTCGTGGAAATCCCTTTTGTTTGGTGGTACTGGTAACGATTTGAAATTTCTTCTTCCGTCAACCCTTGACGTACTACCTTCTCCGACGAACCTTCACCGTTTGGGAAACACGGTAGTGGATCCGTACTGTAGTTTGTGCCATGGATGGGCCTGGACTACGCACCACATGCTTGGCACATGCCGCGTAGCACTGGACCAGAGACGTTACACCTGGAGGCACGACAACGTACTCTGGGTCATCGTCAGGAACATGCGTGAGGAGATTCGAATCCGCACTGCTGCAAACACCGTACAAACCGAAATTCTAATGAGCTTGACTTCATCTCGTTTTACAATGCGGGGGAGAAGCCAGTTCGCGTTCAGCCAGACGAAAGTTGGTTACGACTGATCTGCTGTCAGCGGCCTCAGACTGGAAACGTCTTGTCGACCCAGTGCAACGATTTCTTTCCCTAGCTGTGTTGCACTTACCACCCTAAGACCAGATATAGTTCTGTACTCTACGAGTCGTAGGATTGTATTCTGGATGGAGTTGACAGTTTGTGCTGAGGACAGATTCAGTGTCAGTAACCAGGACAGGCGGCATGCAGATCTGGCCGATCAATGCCGAGCAAATGGGTGGCAGGTTGTTTGTTTTTTGGTTGAGGTAGGTGTGCGTGCTTTCAATGAAGTTCAATGTCCACAACAGTAGTTTTCAGCAACAAAAAAAAACAGAAAAGAAAATGTGTGTGAGCAGAGCTGTGAAGCCAAGACATCACTGATGGCATCAAGAGAGAAAAACAAAGACAAGAAGACCCAGCCGAAAAGGTGTGAAACACTTCTTGTCTACTCGCATTTTTGGAAATGCACTCTCTCCAGGACGGCGATTGGGAGGCCACAAGAACATGCTGAATAAACGCTGTGTATGTCTTCATTTTCAACTTCCTCCGCAGACTTGCATCAAACTGGACAGTGGACAAGTGCAACACACTATCGCTATTGCAACCACCGACTGTGATGCAGTGGGCATCGGCATCCCGGTGGGGATCGGACACAGAGCAGAGTTGCGGACATGCAAGCCCAGTGCACACGTGCTGCGTGGAGGAGACAAACTTCACTTTGGTTGCCCTTCATGGAGCGTTGGAAGAGTAAGTCGTAAAATGGCTTTGACGTGAAATTCTAGTTTTGTAGATGACATTTAGCTAGTACATATCCTGCCAAGTGTAGTTGTGATACTTCCAATGCTGTCAATAGTCAGTGTGTTTACTGCAGTTGCGCTCGGTGAAATCCGACTTGAAATGTATATTTGGCGCTCCGTACCGATAAGGCCCTCGACCATTTTGACACCATGTTAAGCGCGATAAACAATATCGCTCCTGCGACATGATGAGCGACGAGCGATGTGATCGACAGTCATTTTCTGCAAAACGTTGCATTGAAGGCTGTCGCAGCTCCGCCGAAGGTTGCATCGCGGGGAAAATGAGGCAAGTTCAACTTCTGCGACGAGCGATGCGCATCACTTTCTCCCGGCAGGCGCATGTGACACAAGTTTTGCGGCTCGCGTACGGTTTTGGACTGTACGTGCCCTCCTGGATTTCACTGCGATGTGCCGTGCATTGTGCATCGAATATTCTTTGCACGATATGAAAAGACTGTCACTCGACGCTCATCGCCTCGGAGAAGTGATATAGTGCATGGCGCTTTAGTTGTACAAGTACTGATGTGCATGTCCAGCTGTACATTCATGCATATACTGTAATGCTGTGTGAGGCTTATCCTGTAAAACATGCAAGAAGTCGCAAAAGTTGCACTTTGGTCAACTACTGTGGCAGTGGCCTTGCGACTGCATGTGACTATACGCAATGAGCATTTCCTTTTCTCGAGTATCACATGTCACATGTCACATCACAAAATATTAATAGTGATAGTGTCAATGGTGCTTCAAACGAGGTTCTCGAGAATAACGCGGCCATTTCATTCTGTGTGAGCCCGGCAAATGTCATACTAGTAATATGCTGTGGAAGTGCTGACGTCACGTCACGCTGCTTGAACACTCATACTTACACAAAACACGAAAAAAAGTGAATTAGGTCCAGTTTGGATTTGTCGTAACTCAAAGTTTCATGCCACTGCAATCATCAGACAAATGATAATAAAAACCTAAGACTAGTCATTGTGAATCAGATCATGCGTGATACTTAGCACTTAGATTGACATTACTCTACTCGATTCAACGAATGAAGGCCAATATCACACAGATGTTAGGGATGATGTGAGCGATAAGTAAAGTAAAGTAAATTATCGTATCCGTTCCCGAAGGGAACTCACGACGGCCGCTAACACCCGATAAACCCTAGCGGCAGATGCAGCGCCTAACGATAAGTAATGGGATAATGTTGGCACTGACGCATGTTAAACCGGTCATGGTTGTGATGGATAAATATATTATTAGCACTGAAGTATGCCAAACCAGTCATGGTTGTGTCGGGTACTGTTCTTGCACGGCAGCTGCGACTGGCTGCTACTTGTTCTACTATGTCACGCTAGGTGTGAAGTTTTTTTTATCTACTTCCTCCACGTCATTAAAATTGTCGCTTCCCAGAGCGATTTTTTGAAACTATTCTGTCCACTCGAAGGGCAAAGAAATCAGCTAGAAATTGAGGCAGAGTATTGTCGACGGACGGGCTTTAGTTTGCGGCCTGCGCATAGTAGTAGTAGTAGTAGTAGTAGTAGTAGTAGTAGTAGTAGTAGTAGTAGTAGTAGTAGTAGTAGTAGTAGTTTTTATTATTTTACTAGGGGAGTCCCAACAGGCTACTGCCTTTTTACTGGGAACCCTGGGTGAAGCTTACCCATATTAATGAACAGAGCAAGAGTGTGGGCCTGTCGACAGTCAGCTGGAAGAGAGTTCCACCTGCCTGCCGCCAGAAAAGAAATAGAGCGCATGCCATACTGCGTATAAACGAGTGGGAGAACTAAGGCTTTTTGTGCCTTGCCCCGGGTGCATGCCTGATGACCAGGTGCAGTTGCCCGAAGCTGGTACAAAGACTGAAGAAGAGGACTAGCAAGATACTGGGCCAAGCAGCGGTACACAAAAACATAGAGCTTGAGGCTAATACGCTGTTCCAAAGAATAGAGGTGATATAAGCGAAGAACTAGTTCAGTGGGCGTGGTACGATCGAGTCCAAACACTCTCTTCATTGCTATGTGACTAACGGTCACAATCCTATTGTACAGAGTTGTGCTTAAACAATGTAGGTAAGCATTACTGGCATAGTCTAGGGTAGACTGAATAATAGACAAGTAGAATGTTCGCTTTGCATCATTTGCTAAATTTCTACGGCCATGTCGGAAAGCAGCAATTTTAGCAAAAACCGAGTTACACAATTTATGGACCTGTGGCTGGAAGGTGAGATGCTCGTCTATCAATAAACCAAGGTATTTGGCAGTGCTCGTAGGGGTAATAGCCTTTCCTTTACAGGTCAAGGGCTGTGGCAACTGCGCTGCTGGCAGGCGTGACCGCTGCAGGATTAGAAATTGCGTCTTGTCGGGGTTCATGATGAGCCCCTTAAGATCTAAATGGACCTCCAGGGCAGTTAGATCGTCCTGGAGATCCTGTAACATAGCAGGAAGGTCCAGTCTGATGATGAAGAAGGCAATGTCATCAGAATAGAGTTGTGACATGCTGTGCTTGAGAATTTCCGGCACCTTGCGAATATAAATGCAAAAGAGCAGGGGACCCAGGACCGACCCTTGCGGGACGCCCCTGGTACAAGGCACAGTCTCACCATGCTCGCCATTGACTATTACTTGTTGACTGCGGCGTGACAGCGCATAAGACATGCTAGCCAGTTCAGACCGTGATACTGGTACGGTGGAACTGTACACAGTCAGTCCAGTATGGCCACACTCTCCGAACAGGTGCTTATCTTCTGCATTCGATTGTGTAATATACCGTACTGCAGATGAGTAACTGAATCTAAACTCCCACATCACACATGCTGTGATGCAGAGCTGGGAGTCCCTGACACAGCAGCAGCAGCAGCAGGGATGGTGATGGGGATGGTGATGGGGATGGGGATGGGATGGGGATGGGGATGGGGATGGTGATGGTGATGGGGATGGGGATGGTGATGGTGATGGGGATGGGGATGGGGATGGTGATGGTGATGGGGATGGGGATGGTGATGGTGATGGGGATGGGGATGGTGATGGTGATGGGGATGGTGATGGTGATGGGGATGGGGATGGGGATGGTGATGGGGATGGGGATGGGGATGGGGATGGGGATGGGGATGGGGATGGTGACACAGCAGCAGCAGGGATGGTGATGGTGATCTATTGAATGTACTTTACGGTAGTACAGGGTTGCCGGGGTTGCCACGCTACAAGAACATGTCAAATTCTCATTTTTGTAGTATAGCGTCAATCATATCCCAACGCTTCTGGGCAGACATTGTTCAGAAGGAGCTCAGATGGGGAAAATGTTCGTATAATGAGAGAGTGACATAGGGCTCATACAAGGACTATGTACATGCATGCCAGTTTCATCATCGTAAATGCATACCATAGAACGGGTAATTTTAGCGAAGTATAAACCCTAGCGAATTTAGCGATCGACTCATTTTCGCTAACCTTTCAAGTAGCTAATCCGTTGAGACATTAATAGTGCACTGGTGATCTGTGAGTAAAAACGCTGCAAATCGCTAAAATAAAACGTCGCCAACCGGTTGACAATGGGAAAACGCTAAAATTAATAGTGGCTAAAATTACCCGTTCTACAGTATGTAGTAGTACAGACTAGACGACTGCACTGGTGAACTCAAGTACTGCATTGTGCATCTTTTTATTGCTTTTATTTTTCGAAACTTTGGAGGAACTGCCCTTCCAGGTAATAGGCCTTCCGGCTGCCGTTCCGATACATGATCTTGCGGATAGATGATGTGGGGATAATCTATGTTCCACTGTATTCGTGTGATATTTTTCTTTGCCTTCAGACTTGCATCGGACTGAACTGTTCACGCTATTGCTGCTGCAAACATCTACAGTGATGCAGTGGACATCAACAATCCACTTTTAATTTTTCACGTGTCTGAAAAAATATTTTTCCGAGTGTGCTGCTTGTTTGCCGCTTGTTGCCGCTTGTTGCCGCTATCTTGGTTGTTGTGTGTGGATCATGGTCGTCGTTATGTCATAGCAGTGGGCTTGTGCGCATGTGTGTGTGTGTGTGTGTGTGTGTGTGCTGAGGAGATGCTCCCCGCATGAAACTAACGGTTACCAGCATGACTGCTTGTACACCATGGCCTTACAAGGAGCGCAACATGTATGCTTCCCCTATCGTCAACCACTCAGCAGTTTACAGCTTGTTAAATTATAATGCCGGGAGAGCTGCGTGATTGGATGTGACATCGTAGCTTGTAAGGTGCAGTGTACCATGCTTCTGCGGCATTGTACTGTGCAGGGCCTCGGGGGCCTCCCTGCCGCTTGAAACGTACACCTCATGCTACTGTCATATTCGATTAGTTGTTCAGTACAATTCTATTGTTAGCAGTAAGGTGTGTCTCTGTGTGTGTGTGTGTGTAAGCGATGGGAGAAAGGAGATATTTGATGTAACGGCATTCAGTGTCTGGTTTGAGTGCTGTTTGAAATAGGGTTGTGATTGGGTACTAGGGTATCCATACTGGTATGGTTGCATCCACGGAATTGCAGCTTTTAGCAGAGTGTGCTTGTGTGTGTGTGGGGGGGGGGGGGCTATGAATCCCTGCTTTGGTTGGAGAGTTGCTCAATGAATTCCTTTCCCTTGAGTCAAGTAGATGCTGCCCTATTCACAGCCTGGTGATCACAGGTCTAGGGCAACATACTTTTTAAGTAACTCGTTCGTGGGATTTCATTGCACGGTAAAGGAGGTAGGACTTCAGCCCTCAGCAATCCTTCTTAGCGTGCTGATGACCGAAGTCCCTACTCATACTGAACTCTGATTGATTGATTGGATTTTAGAATTACCCAAGCCGGCAAAGAGAATTCTAATGCCGGGAGAGCTGGGTGATTGGATGTGCCATCGTAGCTTGTAAGGTGCAGTGTACCATGCTTCTGCGGCATTGTACTGTGCACGGCTTTCCTGCCGCTTGGAATGTACACCCTATGCTACTGTCATATTCGTGTAGTTGTGCGGTACAATTCTATTGTTAGCGGTAAGGTGTTTGTGTGTGTGTGCGAGAGAGCGATGGCAGAAAGGAGATAATGTCTGGCTCGAGTGCTGTTTGAAATAGGGTTGTGATTGGGTACTAAGGTATGCATCCCTGCTTCAGGCAGAGTGTTGCTCAAAACCATGCCAGCTAGAGACACTGTGACACCGAACAGTCCTTCCTACTTCCTCATACTGAACTCTGATTGACTGAGTTTTAGAATTCTCTAAGCCGGCGGAGAGAATTCTGAAATGACTGGTCAACCGCCCTCAGCCAATCAGAGTTCAGCAAGTGTTTTCTTCTTGGCCTGCTGATGTCTGAACTCTTGTTGTTTCTGCAGGAGGGAAGAATGTCTGGAGTCTTGTTTTTTTCTGCATGAGGGAGGAGAAACAAGTCTGGGGAAGAAAATCTAAAAAGAATGTCTGAACTCTTGATGTTTCTGCATGAGGGAGGAGAAACAAGCCTGGAGAAAAAAATAAAAAATTCTGGCCATCCCAAACCCCGACCACCATCCCCTCAAAAAATTAAAAATTCTGGCCATCCCAAACCCCGACCACCATCCCCTCCTGGAATGATTACTTTTATAGCCTATCCTGGCACTGCACTTCACACCTGAAATGACTGGCCAACCGCCCTCGGCCAATCAGAGAGCAGCAAGTGTTTGCTTCTTGGCCTCACTTATCTATCTCACCGTGCTGGACATGGCAATCTTGGCTGGGGTATCAAAAAGTTGGAAACTCAAGTTTACAAGGTTTTGTCTAGACCGAGTAGGAGTTTTGCCCGTAAGGAACAGTAAATAGCGTACACCAAGGTCATCACAAATCTCCATACATAAAGTCCACTACATTGGCACCAGCAATGCAATGCAGTTTATAATCCGGTGGAGTGCGGGCCAGCGGATTTTTCCCGTGACCAAAGCAGTCAAGTGTGCACATCCTTGGCAGCCTGGCAGTATCTTATTCATAGGAGTGAAGTACAAGTTCCATTATAATCCAAAAGGCCACTCATCCCAATACAATCAAGTGCTTGTCATATTTCGCTATACCAGACACAATGTATCTGCACAGTAACACAAGGTATATGTATATTCTAAACACCAAGCAGTGTGCGGGCCAACAAGCACAAAAAACACCGTATGCATGTGCGTGCATGCGGAGTGTTCTTTCAAGAGGGCAAGAGTCATTGTAATGTCCAGGTACCTTGTCAACTCTTCCTTATAGAAACATGTTCAGATGTAATTGAAGCTGGTCGAGGTCCTGTTCATTTGGCTCCCGGTCTGCAGGGTTGTGGTTGGAAATTCTTTGAACAGCCTTTTGCTTGTATTCATCATTGCCCAACTTTCATCACCACACCTATAGTGTCTCAGCTGGCCTCCTCCTGAGAAAAACGAGAGTAACGAACAAGAAAAATACACCCGTGCATACACACACGCATGCACAAGTGCACACATTTATACACGCACGCACACACACACACACACGCACACACACACACACAAACATACACACACACATACACAAACACATACACACACAAACACACACACACACACATACAAACACACACACAAACATACACACACACATACACAAACACATACACACACAAACACACACACACACACATACAAACACACACACAAACACACACACACATTTGTAATTGTACTTGCTTTCTTCCATAACTGGTCACATGGGTCTCCCCGGGAGAGAGAGGAAAGAGACGAAAAAGGAATCTTGGAAAGATGACTCAATTGGCTATTAAACCGCTTAAAGAGCAAGTTAAGGCAAAAATCAAATTTCACCAGTTGTAGTCTTCGAGGTGCTGAGTCGAATGGTCTTGGTCCGAGAAAGCTGAGAGGCTCTCTTCCTACTTGAATCCCAATCGAACTCGCGCACTTCCACCGAAACTGGGTGACTGCGCCCTACTAGATGGGGATTTGTACGCAAAATGTCACTAAAAGCGCCATTTCGTTCTTATAAAAGCACGGATGACCGCGATTGGCCCATATGTTGTAGTCTTTTGGACGCTGAGTCGACTGGTTTTGGTCCGAAAAGGCTGCGATGCAGCGTTCCTCCTTTATTCCCAATCGAACATGGTTGAAGAAGCGGTCATGTGCTCCTGGGTGCCCAAATCACCTGGTCACCGCGCCAGCAGGCGACAACTTTCACACCAAAGTATTAGTTCAACTCGAGTTCAACTCGAGTGACAGGACTGCACCCAAAAAAGGTCAAACAGGCTAGTAAGTTGTACCCTGCAGCCACGGTGACCAGCTGACTGGTGTACGCAGGAGCACGATGCAGCGTTCCTCCTCTATTCCCAATCGAACATGGTTGAGCAAGCGGCCACGTGCTCCTGCGTACACCAGTCACCTGGTCACCGTGCCTGCAGGGTACAACTTAATAGCCTGTTTGACCATTTTTGGGTGCAGTCCTGTCACTCGAGTTGAAACTTGGTGTGAAAGTTGTCGCCCAAATCAATGCGACCACTCACATCACAGCAAGGGTCATGTTATAGAGAGGTACGTTAAAAGTGACACTTGGGCACAAATGGTCAAAAAGCGACAATTTCTCACCTTTCTGCCCGTTCGAAGCTCAACAACTGACCATCGCCACCCTGATCTTGTTGTGTAGCTGGACATAGGGAAGTGCACCAAGAAAAAATGCCACAGTTCAATAAACAACTCGCCGAGGGCTGCTGAATGCTGATCTCCCAGTTTAGGGCCTTTTTGCCCGTCATTCTTCACTTTGCGACTAAACTATTCACAGCAGTGCCAAATTTTACGCGTCGCTGAATGCGGGTGCCAGCGGCCTACAGGCAAACCAAAAATCAAATCAATGCAACCACTGACATTACAGCTGGGTTATGTTATAGAGAGGTACGTTGAAAGTGACACGTGGGCACAAATGGGCAAAAAGCGACAATTTCTCACCTTTCTGCCTGTTCGAAGCTCAAGAACTGACCATCGCCATCCTGATCTTGTTGTTTAGCTGAACATAGGGAATAGAACCAAGAAAAATTCCACATTTCAATAAACACTTCGCAAAGGGCTGCTCAAAGCGGAAATCAATCTATCTCGAAGTGTTGGGCCATTTTGCCCGTGATTCTTCACTTTGCGACTAAACTATTCACAGCAGCACCAAATTTTAGGCGTCATAGAATGTGGGTGCCAGCGGCCTACAAGCAAACCAAAAATCAAATCAATGCGACCACTCACATCACAGCTGGGTTATGTTATAGAGAGGTACGTTGAAAGTGACACGTGGGCACAAATGGGCAAAAAGCGACAATTTCTCACCTTTCTGCTCGTTCGAAGCTCAAGAACTGACCATCGTCACCCTCATCTTGTTGTTTAGCTGGACATAGGGAGGTGCACCAAGAAAAAATTCCACATTTCAATAAACACTTCGCCCAGGGCTGCTCAAAGCTGAAATAGATCTATCTCGAAGTTTTGCGTCTTTTTGCCCGTGATTCTTCACTTTGCGACTAAACAATTCACAGCAATGCCAAATTTTAGGCGTCCCAGAATGTGGGTGCCAGCGGCCTACAAGCAAACCAAAAATCAAATAAATGCGACCACTCACATCACAGCTGGGTTATGTTATAGAGAGGTACGTTGAAAGTGACACGTGGGCACAAATGGGCAAAAAGCGACAATTTCTCACCTTTCTGCCCGTTCGAAGCTCAAGAACTGACCATGGCAACCTTGATCTTGTTGTTTAGCTGGACATAGGGAAGTGCACGAAGAAAAAAATCCACATTTCAATAAACAACTCGCCCAGGGCTGCTCAAAGCTGAAATATATCTATCTCGAAGTTTCGGGCCTTTTTGCCCGTGATTCTTCACTTTGTGACTAAACTATTACGTTAAAAGTGACACTTGGGCACAAATGGTCAAAAAGCGACAATTTCTCACCTTTCTGCCTGTTCGAAGCTCAAGAACTGACCATCGCCATCCTGATCTTGTTGTTTAGCTAAACATAGGGAATAGAACCAAGAAAAAATTCCACATTTCAATAAACACTTCGCCCAGGGCTGCTCAAAGCTGAAATAAAACTATCTCGAAGTTTTGGGTCTTTTTGCCCGTGATTCTTCAGTTTGTGACTAAACTATTCACTCTGCTCGCCTCTGCGCGCCTCTGCTCGCCTCTGCTCCCCTCTGCGCCCCTCTACGCGCCTCTGCACTCCTATACCCGCCACAAGCAGAGGTGCACAGAGGCGCACAGAGGCGCACAGAGGCGCGCAGAGGCGCGCAGAGGCGCGCGCCAAGGGGAGCAGAGGCGCAGAGGTGTGCGCTAAGGCGAGCCAAGGCGCGGATAGGCGCTCAGAGGCGAGCAAAGGCGAGCAGAGGCGGGCAGAGGTGCGCAGAGGCGGGCAGAGGTGCGCAGAGGCGAGCAGAGGCGAGCAGAGGCGCGCAGAGGCGCTCAGAGGCGCGCAGAGGCGGGCATAGGCGTGCAGAGGCGCGCAGAGGCGCGTAGAGGCGCGCATAGGCGCGCAGAGGGGAGCAGAGGCGTGCAGAGGCACAGAGGCGCGCGCAAAGGCAAGCAGAGGCGGGGAAAAGCGCTCAGAGGCGCGCAGAGGTGCGCACAGGCGTGGGCAGAGGCACGCAGGGGCGCGAAGGGCCATGCAAAGGCGCGCAGAGGCGAGCAGAGGAGCGCAGAGGAGGGCAAAGGTGGGTGAGTGCGTGTGTGTGTGTGTGCGTGTGCATTCGTGCGAACGTTTTCACGTTTGTGCACATGGGTGCATGCGCGCGCGTGAGTATGTGAGTGCGCGCATGCATGAGCAGGTGCGCAGAGGCGCACAGAGGCGCACTGAGGTGCGCGCAATGGCGAGCAGAGGCGCGCTCAAAGGCGAGCAGAGGCGCGGATAGGCGCTCAGAGGCGAGCAGAGGGGAGCAGAGGCGAGCAGAGGTGAGCAGAGGCGAGCAAAGGCGCGCAGAGGCGCGCAGTGGAGCGCCTGAGCGCGCAAAGGTGTACGCAGAGGCGGGCAGAGGCGCGCAGAGGCGTGCAGAAGGGAGTAGAGGCGGTCAGAGGAAAGCAGAGGCGCACAGAGGCGAGCAGAGGCCCGCAAATGCGCGTAGAGGTGCGCAGAGGCGCACGCAGAGGCGCGCAGAGGCGGGCAGAGGCGCGCAGAGGCGTGCAGAGGCGCGCAGAGGGGAAAAGAGGCGCGCGGAGGCACGCAGAGGCGTGCGCAAAGGCGAGCAGAGGCGCTCAGAGGCGAGCAGAGGCGGGCAGAGGTGCGCAGAGGCGAGCAGAGGCGCTCAGAGGCGCCCAGAGGCACGCAGAGGCGCGCAAAGGCGCGCAGAGGCGCTCAGAGGCGCGCAGAGGCGGGCATAGGCGCAGAGGTGCAGAGGCGTGTAGAGGCGCGCAGAGGCGCGCAGAGGGGAGCAGAGGCGCGCAGAGACGCGCAAAGGCGCTGAGAGGCGCACAGAGGCGCGCAGAGACGCGAAGAGGCGGGTATAGTTGTGCAGAGGCGTGTAGAGGCGCGCAGAGGCGAGCAGAGGCGCGCAGAGTCGCGCAGAGGCGCGCAGAGGCGCGCAGAGACGAGCAGAGGAGCGCCTGAGCGCGCAAAGGCGTACGCAGAGGCGGGCAGAGGCGCGCAGAGGGGTGCAGAGGCGCGCAGAGGGGAGTAGAGGCGGTCAGAGGGAAGCAGAGGCGCACAGAGGCGAGCAGAGGCCCGCAAAGGCGCGTAGAGGTGCGCAGAGGCGCACGCAGAGACGCGCAGAGGCAGGCAGAGGCGCGCAGAGGCGTGCAGAGGCGCGCAGAGGGGAAAAGGGGCGCGCGGAGGCAAGCAGAGGCGCACAGAGGCGAGCAGAGGCGCGGAGAGGCGCACAGAGGCACGCAGAGGCGCGCAGAGGCGCCCAGAGGCGCGCAGAGGCGCGCGCCAAGGGGAGCAGAGGCGCAGAGGTGTGCGCTAAGGCGAGCAAAGGCGCGAATTGTCGCTCAGAGGCGCGGATAGGCGCTCAGAGGCGAGCAGAGGCGAGCAGAGGCGGGCAGAGGCGAGCAGAGGCGCTCAGAGGCGCCCAGAGGCACGCAGAGGCATGAGAGGCGCGCAGAGGCGCTCAGAGGCGCGCAGAGGCGGGCATAGGCGTGCAGAGGCGCGTAGAGGCGCGCAGAGGCGCGCAGAGGGGTGCAGAGGGGATCAGAGGCGCGCAGAGGCGCGTAGAGGCGCATAGAGGCACGGAGAGGCGCGCACAGGCACGCACAGGCGCGCACAGGCGCGCACAGGCGCACACAGGCGTGCAGAGGCGCGCGGAGGCACGCAGAGGCGCGCAGAGGCGTGCGCAAAGGCGAGCAGAGGCGCAGAGGCGTGCGCAAAGGCGAGCAGACGCACAGAGGTGTGCGCAAAGGCAAGCAGAGGCGGGGAAAAGCGCTCAGAGGCGCGCAGAGGTGCGCACAGGCGTGGGCAGAGGCACGCAGGGGCGCGAAGGGCCACGCAAAGGCGCGCAAAGGCGCGCAGAGGAGCGCAGGGGAGGGCAAAGGTGAGTGAGTGCGTGTGTGTGTGCCTGTGCATTCGTGCGAACGTTTTCACGTTTGTGCACATGGGTGCATGCGCGCGCGTCGGTATGTGAGTGCGCGCATGCATGAGCAGGTGCGCAGAGGCGCGCAGAGGGGAGCAGAGGCGAGCAGAGGCGCGCAAAGGCGCGCAGAGGCGCTGAGAGGCGCACAGAGGCGTGCAGAGGCGCGCAGAGGCGCGCAGAGGCGGGTATAGGTGTGCAGAGGCGTGTAGAGGCGCGCAGAGGCGCGAAGAGGGGAGCAGAGGCGCGCAGAGGCGCACAGAGGCCAGCAGAGGCGAGCAGAGGCGTACAAAGGCGCGTAGAGGCGCACAGAGGCATGCAGAGGCGTGCAGAGGCGCGCACAGGCGCACTGAGGCACGCGCAAAGGCGAGCAGAGGCGCAGAGGCGCGCGCAAAGGCGAGCAGAGGCGCGGATAGGCGCTCAGAGGCGAGCAGAGGGGAGCAGAGGCAAGCAGAGGCGAGCAGAGGCGCGCAAAGGCGAGCAGAGGCGCAGAGGTGGGTATAGGTGTGCAGAGGCGCGGAGAGGCAAGTAGAGGCGCGCAGAGTGCGCCGAGGGGAGCAGAGGCGCGCAGTGGCGCGCAGAGGCGCACAGAGGCCAGCAGAGGCGTACAAAGGCGCGTAGAGGCGCACAGAGGCGAGCAGAGGCGCGCAGAGGCGTGCGCAAATGCGAGCAGAGGCGCAGAGGCCCGCGCAAAGGCGAGCAGAGGTGCGCAGAGGCGCGTAGTGGTGCGCAGAGGCGAGCAGAGGCGAGCAGAGGAGCGCCTGAGCGCACAAAGGCGTACGCAGAGGCGGGCAGAGGCGCGCAGAGGCGCGCAGAGGGGAGTAGAGACGGTCAGAGGTGCGCAGAGGCCCACAGAGGCGAGCAGAGGCCCGCAAAGGCGCGTAGAGGTGCGCAGAGGCGCACACAGAGGCGCGCAGAGGCGGGCAGAGGCGAGCAGAGGCACGCAGAGGGGAAAAGAGGCGCGCGGAGGCAAGCAGAGGCGCACAGAGGCGAGCAGAGGCGCGTAGAGGTGCGCAGATGCGCACAGAGGCACGCAGAGGCGTGCAGAGGCGCGTAGAGGCGCACAGAGGCACGGAAAAGGCGGGGAAAAGCGCTCAGAGGCGCGCAGAGGTGCACACAGGCGTGGGCAGAGGCACGCAGGGGCGCGAAGGGCCACGCAAAGGCGCGCAGAGGCGCGCAGAGGCGCGCAGAGCGGCGCAGATGAGGGCAAAGGTGAGTGAGTGCGTGTGCATTCGTGCGAACGTTTTCACGTTTGTGCACATGGGTGCATGCGCTCGCGTGGGTATGTGAGTGCGCGCATGCATGAGCAGGTGCGCAGAGGCGCACTGAGGCGCGCGCAAAGGCGAGCAGAGGCGCGCGCAAAGGCGAGCAGAGGCGCGCGCAAAGGCGAGCAGAGGCGCAGAGGCGTGCGCTAAGGCGAGCAGAGGCGCGGATAGGCGCTCAGAGGCGCGGATAGGCGCTCAGAGGCGAGCAGAGGCGGGCAGAGGTGCGCAGAGGCGCTCAGAGGCGCCCAGAGGCACGCAGAGGCGCGCAGAGGCACGCAGAGGCACGCAGAGGCGCGCAGAGGCGCTCAGAGGCTTATAAGCACATAAGCCGCTTCCTGCATCAGGCTTCAATGCAAACCAGGCTTGTATGCAAACCATGCCAAGAGTAGATAAACAAGAGTGTGCAACTCCGGATGGGTTGGCCCACGGCGGAATTTTTTGTTGACGTAATCTTTTCGACGACGCACGCGCTGCGAGCCTTTTGGAGAGGTTTCCCTCGTGCACTTGGCCGAGCTTTACACTACAAGGTCGGTGCCCAGCACGTGCTCTCACACTGCTCTGCGGCAAAGTCCGCGTTT